CTTTTGAAGGACTTTGAGTTGCTGGAGCGTGTCCAGAGAAGGGCAACGAAGCTGGTGAAGGGTCTAGAGCATAAGTCTTATGAGGAGCAGCTGAGGGAACTGGGGTTGTTTAGCCTAGAGAAGAGGCGGCTGAGGGGAGACCTTATCGCTCTCTACAAGTACCTGAAAGGAGGTTGGAGTGAGGTGGGTGTTGGTCTCTTCTCCCAGGTAGTTAGCGATAGGACGAGAGGAAATGGGCTGTGCCAGGGGAGGTTTAGATTGGATATTAGGAGAAATTTCTTCACGGAAAGGGTAGTCAAGCATTGGAACAGGCTGCCCGGAGAGGTGGTAGAGTCACCATCCCTGGAAATGTTCAAAAAAACGGGTAGACGTAGCACTTTGGGACATGGTTTAGTAGGAATGGTGGTGTTGGGTTGACAGTTAGACTGATGATCTTAGAGGTCCTTTCCAACCTTAATAATTCCTAGTTTTACTTTCACTAAAAAACAATCCAGCCACCAAGCCAAGAAACAAGAAATTAATTACTACTCTACCTTCAGTTGGTTTAGTGGTGGACTTGGTAGTGTAGGTTAATGGTTGGACTTGATGATCCTAAAGGTCTTTTCCAACCTAAATGATTCTATGATTCTGTGATTCTATGAATACATACAAGCATCTCTGATGTGAGGTCTCAAGATTCCCCCCAAAATTCAGCAGGTTTAAGTAATATGTTGAACATAGTTTAGTGGTCACTCTCCAGCTAGGAGACAGCAGCATTTTACTTTTTATACTCACTAATATAAAGTCTTTGCAATAAGAAGAGAGAAAAATGTTTATTTTGGGACATTTTCAAGGGTAAAAGATAAAATTATTTAATATTTCAAGCACCTTTGCCTGCCAGAAACTTGTGACTATGCAGGGGAAAAAATTAGGAAACACATATAGTCAGTATAACTTTAGTTCTTGGAAAAATAATAAAGCAATTTGTAAGCACGCCAAGATAAAATGGATAAGTAACAGCCAACATTGATTTGTTAAGAACAAACTATGCCTGATCAATCTAATTTTCTTCTCACTATTGTGCATGAGAGGGATTGTGCCTGTAATGAGATTTTTTTTAATATATTGTCTCGTGTCTTTTTGAAAACACAGTAGGGAAATCTGTTCTGCTTAGCAAGATTACTCTCATGTCCTTCTAAGTCTTAGGCTTCACTTTTCTTTACAGATCAGTGTAAGGAAGTGAATGTTTTTGGATTATGTAGGTAGGGGTGGGAACCTGAGGACCACTAAACACAGTTACAGAAGCATTGTGTGCTCAATAACTGTGCTGATGTTCTGTGAAAAATTCACAGTGTTAAATAGCCTTTAAAATATCTGATTTCGTAGTTGAGCAGTTTCACAGTAGGCTGCAGCATGAAGGAGCAGAAACATATGTTCAAGATCTTTTTAAAGATTTTTTTTCATACTGTGTTTGGTACTGGTGAGCCTTTAATGAATGAAGAATTGAATTAAAGCATTTTAAGAACGTAAAACACACTGCAAAGATGTAGTAGATATTGTTACTGCAATTGTGAAAATTAAAGATTGAGAGAAACATTTGCTTTCTGCTTTGCAATAACAACCTCTCATACAGGAAAATGGTATGTGGTATGCCTCAATTAGCCAAACAGATTTTCAGAAGATGTAATTTTCTACAGCCTGTGAGTTAGCTGAATCTTTGTTACACTGCCTTTAGGAACTAAAATACAGTAAATATATACACAATAAAGGTATACACAATCTTGCAGATTTACACCTGTTGTACTCTATTATGGATAAGGGAATCTTCTCCTCAAAGGACATCTTTTGCAATTTATAAAATAAGGCCCCCAAAAGTCGAATGTTTAATGTTAATAAACTGAATAATTGTAGACAGAAATATGTATAACTGTAAATACCAACTTCCAGAAAGGTGGAGCAGGGTCTCCAGCAAACACTGAAGCTAGATTTCCCAAGCTGTAGGGCTAGGTTCTGTCACAGCATGGTTACAGCGTGGGAAGCAGTGAATTCTGCTCATAGTAGTAAAACACACTAAATAAAGTTTTTACAGAAAGGGGCTAAGAGTTGAATTCATTGTTTTAACATACTGAATTGCCTGAGCTATTTTGCCCCACATCATCTTACACAGCAATCTGTTCCATCTCTCGGATATTTTTCCTAAGTTTCTGAGGTTCTGAGAGATTTACGGTGCTAGAGGTTTCATAACTGTGTAGAGAATGTGCTTCAGCACTTCAGCCCTGCAGTCCTAATACCTAAAAGTGAAGGGTTTAAGGGATGTATTCACATAAATGTTAGAAAAGTTCATTTTTCTGGGTTCAGGCATGTTTGTATGGCAAGCAGTCCAATTTAGATTCTGTGTATTGTGCATAAATTTCAGTTCTAGCAATAGGAGGGTTTCCTTGCTGGACTGCTGTGATCCTCCCCTTTTGAGTATGTTATCTACTGCTGCTTTGCTCCCATGCTCTTCTTTTCTACATTCCAGCCTTTTTCTCATTTTCTGTGACAGGGCAGTAAAATGAAATTCATGTATGCATCTAATAACACCAAACTCTTCAGAACACTGTTTACTGAGCTTCCAAAAAGAGACATTTGATTGAATTTCACTTGGGGGGTGTGTGAGAGAATAAGAAAGAGAGTTGTGTTTTAAAGTACTAATTGGAGAGCCTGAGCTTTTAAGATTAATGTATCCTGATTGCTCCTCAGACCAGTCAAAAAGCTAGCATGGTTAATATCTATATCAAACAGGTTAAAATAGGAAAAGGAAGGGGGTTAAAGAGTATAGAGGTGAATAAGATGCTCACGTTGTTCACATTAATTTTATTTAGTATTACACTGTAATGTAGAATTCATAGAATTATACTGTAATGGTCTTAGTGCTGTGAGAGCTTTTGGATAAAAGACTCTAGAAGACAAGAAAATGGCAAAAGCAGTGCCCACTTCTATCTTAAAACAGGAGGAGATGGAGTAAGAATTAGAGAATTTTAATTTCTGGAGAAAATATTGAGCAAATGATTGAATTGCTTGGAAGTAGCTGGGGATGAGATTGAAAGGTGGACTAATTAATAACGAATTATGTTAAATCAATCTTCTTTCTGTGGAAAAGGTACCAGATCTTGTAGTTAGTAGATGAAATGCATCTTGAATTTAGTGCACATCTTTTTTGATTGTCTCACCTGGCTTTCTTATATCTTAGGCTAGAGAGCACAATAGCAAGAAAAATACATGCATTATAGAAAAAGCAGTTTTCAGAAGTCTTGTGGAGGTAAAAACATATCTTAGTAAAGTCAGTTAAAACAATTAATGTTTGTCAGAAATTTAGATGAGGAATTCCACTGGATCACTTACATATATGTCTAATGCCATTTGGACAACACACTATATGCAGAGTAGTGACCACTTGATGCATCCTTTATAAAGCTGTTTGACATTGAAAACTTGTTGATCATACTCTGATTATACAGAGTGTTTATTAAACCCGGTACTAGTAGGAACCAAATTCCTTTGGGAGCAAAGTGCTATTAAACTGACTAGTGAACCTCCATGGGGAAATTCAGTATTTTCTCAAGTGCTGTAGAAGAGAGTAAGATGCATGTGTATGTGGCTTTTCTAAAGCCCGCAAATGATGCCTGGTAGTGGTGTACATGAGAGCAATATCTTGTTGCTCCTATAACTGATTATTTTAATACTTTCTTCCTTCCCTGTGGAGTCTTTTTTTCTCCTTCTGTAGCTGTTGGGGTACTGAAAGCTCCCATGGTGAGAGATGGTCATTGTTGCATATGACTTGTAAAGGAACTTCTGCTGCCCTTACGACTTTTTTCTCTTTTTGGGGAAGGAACTTAGGGACTAAATTTAGTCTTTCACTTATGATTTTGCCTTTAGATCTTGCATGGGTAATCGGTGGAGAATCTTAAGCCTATCTTAAGACAACTCTCACTTGCTGAAAATGTAGATTCATGAATATTTTAAAAAAGCTTTTGTCATAGTATTTTAAGGTTTTTTTTTTACTTCTGCAATACCTTCTTCACTGTGGCTTAAAGCAGTAACTGTATTTAATGCAGATCTTTATATGTGATGTGTAGAATATAAAGCACGGTTGGCATTGTGAAACTGAGCAAATGTATTTATCTTGGTCCATGCTGCTGTTCCAAAAATTATATTTCAGTGAATGTATGTGGTCCAAACACAGCACTATGCCTGCTGCTAGGAAGAAAATTAACTCTATCCCAGCCGAAACCAGGACAGTATGTTAATACTATGAATTTGTTGGGATGAAAGGAAGCAGCAGACTGTGGAAAAGTCCTATAAACTAACCTAGCTGAATTCTGTTGCCTTTGAAAGTGTTGACAATCCAATTGATACTAACCACAGGATCCTGCGGAGATTAGTGTACACAATTAAATGTTGGGAACAGTGTATCCATGGGAACAGCTATTGCCTTCATATGATGATATGCAAATTATTTCCTACTTTCAAGATGAAGTTTCACTCCTACCTTCACAGAAAGATAAGTAAACAACTCAAGAGTTGTAGTATAGTTTGGGACGTGGTATTTTTGTACAGACAATATTTTGTTCTAGTTATTTTCATCCCACTGAAAGAAAGACTATGGCTTCTCTGTAGGGAA